GATGAGTTTCATGTGAACTCAGCCTTATAAGCACTGCCTCCACATGGTGGACAAACAGGTTAGTCACATGCAAAATAGGGCCAGCGCCTAACAATAGGCTTGATTAGCTCTATTGTTCATAGAGGGTCATGTGCCCCATCACCTGACTTATTGGTTTGGATGCTTTGGCTGTGGTTCTTTGGTGTCGTGTCATGTGTATGTAGTGAGTGCAAGCGGGGTTCAACGTCCCCCTGTTTTTGTCCATCTTTCYCTCTTTGTGTTGGTATCATTGGGGCCCTGATTCACACCTTTTGCTCACAGGGGGCTGAGTCATACTTGCATGAGAACATCATCCCTGAAAGAGTGACCGCTGGCCTGAGTGTGAACTACAGAGTCCTGACCCGATGATGTAGCTCGTCTGTGCTGGCTCATTCTTCTGAACAGTGGCTGTTGAGTTCACCTGAAACTCATCAGACTGAAGAAGTCTCTTGGAGGAGAGACAAAACGTTTCACTAAAGAAGAACTCATCCAGAGGACCTACTTATTTTTTTCTTTTTGATTATTATCAAATAGTTTTTTTCTGTAATAAAATATGGGACACATCACATCAAACTGAGGATTAAGTCAAATTTGGTCAAATTTATTTGAGCACATTTTCAGATTCCTGTTTTTTAAAATACTTTTTGATACTTGGATCATCCTTATATCATGACCGGTTCCAGACATGTACCTTAATTTGACTTCCTAATCATGATATTTGGTCTGAAACCTAGTTTAATATTGTTCTAATGAGGAATTTTTATGTTGTTGTAAAGAGGAAACCTCAAACAATATTTGGATATTAAGATTTACCTGCTGGAAAGAAGAAAAGGATTCCTAACTCGCAGTGAAAAGGACAAAAATGTAGGGCTTTTCTGCTCAAAATTGTGTTTATTTTATTTATTTATTTTTTTGTAGCTACCGCTCAAAATAAATTATTTAAGATTAAACTTCAGATATTTCATTTAAACGACCAATAAATAAGAGATTTATTCATTATATTTTGACAAAATGCAGTTTTGCAAACATAATCACCAATGTACTATAGTGGCCTATTTCTCCACAAACCATTTTGTGACTTAATCCTCAGTTCAATTATTTTTGTATGTAAATAGAAACAAATCTTTTTGGCAGATTTGACCACATTTCATTCTTTAGGTTTATTAAATAGGCTTTTCCATCAGAATAATTAGAATCACAGTTGTTCCACTGATCTGTGCTTCCTTCCTCATACTGAAGCTCATTAATGACCAGTTTTTTTTTACCCCCCTCTGATAACACCAGTGAAGGTGTGAAAGCCTATTACTGGTCCAAGTTCCATATTCCAGTCGGCAAACTAGAACTTGTGCCGGAGTTCTCAGAGGAACGCGTGTTGAACGCACTGGAGAAGGGCATCAAGGAGCCGGACAGCAGGAGGAGTCTGAGTAATGTCAAGATTAGTAAAATCACTGCTTCATGTGAGTACCCCAAGTGTGTGGTGACAGTAGTAGCAAGAAAGATGGATAAAATTAAATGTGGGCTAAATCCAGCAATCAAGAGAGAGAGAGCATATTACAAAATAAATCTAAAGAAGGTCAGTGTCATGTCATGTAAGCGTTGCTTTTCTGCTCACCTGTGTATCCACAGCATAGTGGTTTGATCTGAGTTGTGCTGATAAGATGATAACAGATAAGCCATACCTCTCAGCTTGTGCTGCATCTGAGATTGCACATTTTATGCTGTTTGGATCCTCTAATGATATTAGCCAGGGCTCTGGCCCCTGCCTTGAGACATCCATTTCTCTTCCTTCTGTCTTCTCAGCGTTCATGTTGCATTTGTCGATGCGCTGGCCGTCAGCCAAGCGCCGGGCCATGTGACTCAGTGGTTTTGGTCCTCTTTTGAAATGATTTCTGCGGGTATGATTTGACGTTGCTGTCCTAGCTAGTTAGACAGAGATGGATTAGTTGCTGCTGTAGGACGAGGTGAGGTGGAGCAGAAAGAGCTAGATGCTGCCACCAGTTCCTTCCGCCTGCAGGGAAATGGAACAGAAAATGTGCAACCCAAATGTTTTAGGCTCATGCATCAAATTCTATCAGCCTCCCAACTCTGGTGACCCCTTCTTACCCTTTTCCTCCTGTTTCCTTGTCACCCCCCACCCCACCCCACGTCTGTGTCTCCAGTCGCAGATGCTCGTATGGCCAGGAGCCCTCAAGGTGGTGAGTACAATATGTCTCATTTCAATCATTCCTGTAATTTTCCAGCTGGCTAGATGCTCACCCTCCTGCCAGTCTGTAACAAATGACAGTCCTGTCCTGTGTTGTACAGGTGTTTGTTATGTCAGGGATTATGATCTTTGTACTGGTGCAGAATAACTTGGTCACGTTTTTTAGCCTTATAATAACCGTATTTATTCAAGTATAATACGTAAAATTAAATCCATAAAATCATCCATAAAGTTGTGGGGTAGCACTATACTCGGATAAATATTTTTACTTATGTATTTTAACTGAAATATCAGCTTCATTCACAAAATGACTGAGTCCGGAAATGAGACCACTTCGTAAAAAGCAGTTGAAACGAGCTTACCCGTGACACTCCTCCGTGCTTCAGAACGAGATAATAACAGATCCAGGCAGGCGACATGATGTGGAAAAAAAGGGGGAAAAAGCAGTCCTGCACCTCAGTAATTATTGCAAACTAATGACATTAGCGTGTGACCGAGTCGCTCCTCGAACAACAACAAACACATGTTTGTCTTGTAATGGCTGCCGTCTACTGGTGTTCAGAAAAAGTTTGTATCCCTGAAAAAATGTTTGCCCACCAGAGGGGGCGCTCGCGAGTAGGAAGTAATCTGCTTTTCCCCCACAAGATGGCCCAAATCTCATGTGAAGTCTCTGACTTTTGTGTTGGCACATCCTGGTGGACTATGTGTAAAATGCCAGAATTCCTATGATGCTGCTACAAAGCTCAAAATCGTAGTTTGCTGCTATATATACTTGTTGTCAAAATATCTTGTAGTACATATATAGTTAAAATAAAATGAACAGTCCAATGATCCTTTTACTGATATGTATAAAGACTGCAAAGGCTGAAAAATCTTGAAGTCTGTATGAAATTGGAGGTAGTTTGAGGATTAAAATTTTTATGCTTTTTAAGCTCAAAAAGGGGGGGGGKTTGTATTATACATGAGATCGTATTATACACGAATAAATACGGTAGATTAAATCACATTAAATTGTCATGGTAACTGAACAATTCTGAAATGAATAAAAGAACCTATGTGCATTATTTGTAAAGCAGTCTGTTTTTATGAATAACTATAAAAAATAGTGTTGTTTAAAAAAAACAACAAATAATAGATGGGATTATCAATACCATCAATAAACGACTTCAATCAATTTGTTTCTCCTCCTCAGACGACTGCTTCTTCCGTCTGGAAGCTGTTGCAGAACTACAAACGTTTTCATCCCCGGGCTACCCCACAGGCTACCCCTCTAAGTCACGGTGTCAATGGCAAATCCGAGCCTCTGAAGAGAATGCCATCTCCGTCAGTTTCCCAGTTTTTGACATGGAAGATGACTGCTCAAATGATTTTGTCTCTATCTTTGACTCCTTGAGTCCAGAAATGTCTCACACCATCACAAAGTAAGTCGAGCTGGGAGAAACCTCAGGATTGATTGCAGAGTTTTTGTTTATTTTTAAAAGAAGGCTGTGAATAATAAATGTCTTACCTGTTGGAGATGGCTGTCTGACCTCAGTTTGGAGAGTGAAGATTTCTTTATTGATCGGACTGAAGGCCAAGTTCAAGCAGAGTCAAGACCAGTGGATTGCTGCTGTCAAACATACCATAAATTTCATAGCAGTCCATGTTAATGCTGTTATTATAAACCTTTGCTTGACTGTTAGTTTTGAATTAGTTTAAGCAAAAATAATGGCTGTGTCTCAATTCAGGGGCTGTGTCCTTTGAAGACTGCATTTGTCACCCCCTTGCGTCACCGCCCCACGCTGAAGGCTGTCCCAAYTCGTGGGCTCCTTCTCACACGGGAAACAAATGTTGCCCACAAAACCCCCGAAAATGAAGGCTGCTTCAAAGTATCCTTCCTGGCTGAGGATGTCCCAGGATTCATTGTGCTGTCAGCAAATTAGCAGACAAATGAAGATGGCAGTTTTTCTTTTGTCAAGTCAATGTTTGGAAATTGATTGTGGACCGAAGAATCTCTGTATGTTTAGAAACGTATCTGATGGAATTTATGCTGCAATGAGATGTTAAATAATTATTGTTTTTTTTTTTTATTTACGCGTAAAGTTTTAATTGTGAAGTTATTCCTCCAGTGAAAAGACATGAATACATGTCCCATCGCATTAAGTTTGAAGGCACGTGATATAAAAYGTAGTCGTGTAAATTTGTCATCTGAAYACTTGGACCGTCTCATTTCACAGCGGTTTCATTCAGCCTACACGGACTACGTAGGGTGTAACCTACTGCAGCACTCAAGGCAGGCTGAAGCTCCTGAATTGGGACACCCAACATTCTTACAGGAAGTGTTAAAGGCTGCACCAGAAGTGCTACAGCAAGTTGTTGCTAATCATGTTTGTGAATAACTGTAACATTTTACCTTTGAAGTTGGCTTACCAGTTTGTTCAGAATTCAGCTGTATTTGTCCAAACTGAGCTCATTTRAAGAGGTATCTACAACAGGTAAGATATTAATTGTTCATAAAGAGGTTGTGAGGTCAGCTCTCTACAAAACCCCACTTCAAAGATCAGAACTATYGCCTTGATATCAGATTTTTCAATCCTGTTATTCAGCAGCAGATTTCTGTTTATAAGTCACTTCTTATGTGCGAGGAAAAGGTCAGGATTTCCCCTCGATTTGCTTTAGTGCATCAAGTTGAGCTCGAAAGTACTTTTCCATTTAGTTTTAAACATTCACAGCAAATTTAGTTTGATGGACTTCAACCAACATTTGTCTCATTAATTTCACCTAAAGGATCAGAGAGAGACAGAACCTCCATTTGATGTTTGATGCAATGCAGAGACCTTGGAATAAAATCTGCTTGTATGTGGGAGGAACGTGTTTCACTTCATTTCTTCTTCTTTTTTTCTAGATTTGTGATTACAACATTTTTTTATTTTTCTTTGCTGTGTCTTCCTTTTTATTGTTGGCTTTTGAAACCTCGGTGAGATTGAGTTGACTCAAAAAGACCTCTCCTTTCAAATCTGTTGAAGAATCGGACTACACTGCTGTGTGTAATTACATTCGGTCTGTGGGGGAGGCTTTTATTTATTTTATTTTTTTCCCAATGAATCTACAGGCTTTTGAATGCAACATTTGTAGCTGCGGGCGAGTCAAAACTCAAAACCCAATGCCAAACACATATGTTACAAAGTGATGCATAAAAATGTTTGTAATGCTACTGAGTGATCAGCTTTATTCAAGGTGACAAGAGGTTTATGAGCAGCATAAAATCATCCTCTGTAATGACGTTATCCTACTGGATGTATTTCTGCTCTTGCATCATCATTTCCACCTTCATAGCTCCGCTACAAACATTGATAAACCGTTTACTTTTTTTCTTTTCTTTTTTGTTAATGTAACTAATATTTGACTTCGAAATTCCACCTAAGCAATTTCTCCTAAGTGCTGGCACCTCTCTCCTTTTATTTATTGCTTTCTCTGCTGAGTGTTTATCCATTGATTTTTCTCTAAAATCATTTTTCCTTACTGTTTACGTTTGTTTGCTGCGTTAGTGTTTTAATGCGCCTAACTAGAAGGGGAAAGAAAGTACAACTGCATAAGAGATGTCAAATATGAAGCTAATTTTTCATGGTATCGCTTGCTGGAACTCGATTTTATTTTATTTTTTTTTGATTTGTAACATTTTATTGGATGTTTCCCAGCTGGTTTGACTGCTCGTTCTCTCCCTTTAACCCAGACAATGTGGTCAAAGGCCTCCCTCCAACCCGCTGATGGTAATGTCATCTAGTAACATCTTGCTGGTTAACTTTATCGCTGACACTGCTGTCCAGAAGCCAGGCTTTCAGGCAGAGTATCACATCATCCCTAAGAGTGAAGGTAAATTAGTGTCCTCRCATCCACATTTCATCTGCATTCTGTTGGAGGGCTGTAGTATTTTCTTTGTACCTCATTCCTATTAAGTATATGTTGCACTTTTATTTTTTTATGATTATTTCAGTGCAAAGGTGCGGTGGTGTTCTCTCTGGAAGCAGTGGAAACTTCACGTCGCCACTCCACCCCATCTTCTACCCGCCCGCTATAGACTGCAGGTGGAAAATCCAGGTTTGCGACACTTCTCCTGCCTCCCTTCTTGGATTTACCCCCACACTGATCCCCCTTCACCCCCAACCCCCCTCTCCACCATCCTTAGCCTGCTATGAGAGGAATGCTGAGACAGCACTATGGAAGCCAAGCTGTTCAGTACCTCTTCTATCTTCATCAGTCAGCCTGCCGCTGCAGCTCAGAGCTGCGGCGCTCCGTGTCTCTACGAGTTGTTTGTGTGAAGTAAACACACAGGCAAGATGCACCTGCATGTGTGCACTCGTAACTGTCGATGTGTTGGAAGCTTGTATGTTTGCCTTTTATGTAAGATGAATGTAAGATGAATGTAAGATGAATGTAAGGAAGGTGTGTGTGTTCTTCCACAAACAGTCTTCAAATCATGAAGGTTTCGTGGACCTCTTCTATGAACTCTGATCTTTAGTTCTTTCCATAGATTTTCTGTTGGATTCAGGTCAGGTGATTGGCTGGGCC